GCGAAGGTAACTTTGTTTCTCATTTCACGGGTACAATCGTCATATGTTTCATCCGTTCGCGGAGCCACTTTGGAATGGGTTCATTGATTCGAACACCTGGATTTCGATCAATGCACCCAACACAGCTGTTATACAGCAACAATTGAATTTGCATGTCTATTTGATTTGGAAATCCTTCGACGAAAATTGTGATTACTAAGATGGTTTTGCCTTAATGTACCATCAATGGCTTCGAAAGCAGCGACGATAAAAACATGCACCATCTGAACAACATTTGTGCGGACAGGCGAAGTCTTTCAACCAAAGAGCACAACCACTCTCAACGTAGTATGATAGACCCGGCTTCCCAAGGAGAGGCTGAAGTCACATCGACGCCAGAGATGGTGAATAATAATATAAGCAACTCGCGCGTTAAAGACGCGCAAAGAGATCTCATCCGCTGGAAGATTAGTGCCTACGCAGCTTCTGGAGTAAATTTGTCTATCACTTCCAAAAAATACCCTGGAAGAGTACAGGTATGAGCAGTTCCTAGCCATTCCTGAAGAAGAACTTACACTTCTATGGGGTGAATTAGATATTTTTGAAGGCCTGCGAAGAAATCAAAAATTACGATGACGCCGTCTGGATATACCAAATTTCGTAGTTGGTCCACTAGAAGAAGTGGAGCGCTTCTGGGTTCAGTAATGTCCAAAGTATTCCACAGAAAGCCGATCATAACGGAGTTGAATAGGAAAACACTGGTAGCCCACATTGGTTGTTCAGCTGTTCACTGACTCGTGAACACTGACGAAGATATCTCGCTTGGCAGAAATACGTACGGAACCAATGTATCAAGGTAAGTGATGTAACAAACAGATGAGTAATCAAACTGGGTTACAAGCGTTTCAAACTATTTCCAACACCAACGGGCACTCAACATTCCGCGCAGCTCGCTATTAGTATTTCGCTTGTCGACAAGCTCATCCACGACAGCAGCTAACTTTCCTATATGATTATTTATAAAGAGACGCTCTTGCACGCAGTCAGCTACAGGCCACCGATAAATCACTCCCAAGCTTGGGCTTTTGCCCGTCAATTCAGAAAATGCAAGATGTGGACGACGACCACGGATGCCCACAATCGCATCAAGAATTATGAAAGATGACTGAATGAAGAGCGAACCACCTAGTTGCAAACTGTAGGACAACAACTAAAGGAATAGATGCGCTTGGCAATAGAAAGCAGAGAAAAAAGATGAAAGAGTGAGGAATATGGTTGTGCTCCAGCGGAAGATATCAAAGTTAAACATCCGAGAATAAAGTAATGACGATGTCTGAATCGGAAACGTCTCTAACTGACCATTCAACGAGACAGGTCAACAAATACTTATCAAATGAGTAAACCACAACTTCAGTGACGCGACATCCGGGTTGTGGCGGAAATGAAAAAGGCCGTACGATGAAATGGACTTAACGAGGAGATTCAGGAACAAAAACGACACAACCGTCCCAACCATGATGTAAGTCAAGCAATACAATTTACTATTTCGACAAGAGAAAGAGGCACTGAAAATCCTCAGATCCGATGGGTGAATCATTAAGCTACTTGCAGACAAAGTAGGCATAACAGTCATAATGGATAAATCCGATTATATCAAGAAAGTAGAACGGCTTCTGAAAGGTACCATAAACTGTCGGTGCATTAAATGCGGTCCGAGTTCGCAGTTAACAAACCAAATAAACAGAACATTGAATAACATTTAGCGGTTAAACGAAATAATGAAGGCAGAAAAAAGCAAAACGAGGATCTGTGACCCGAACATCGTGCGATCATAGGGACTTCCAAAAATGCACGAAGATGGTGGCCTGTTGCGACCAAATGTTTCCCTTTCAGGTACACTCGTGTACAACCTGCCAAAGATTTATAGAGACCCCTCAAACATCTAACCGGTGGATCGCATCACTCTGTAATCAATGCTTGGCAATTTCCAGAGAAACACAAAAACTTGCAAACAGATCATGTCAAACCGATAGTTTTGTTCAATGTCATCGCTTTGTTTATCGCAATCAACTTACAGCCAGTGAAAGAAGTCATCACAGAAAGCTTGAACGACAGCGGAGAGAAAATCGGGAATACGACAATCACAAGTATTTGTAAGCTTCTTCAACTATGCCTCACGACTAACTGCACTTTCAACGCAGAGATCTCTAGCGTCCTGACTGATAGCTGAGATCGGCATGCAAAAGTTGGAAGATCTACTGCCAAAAATTAACCCAAAATTATGGGTCCGCGGCGTTGACGATACATCTGTTATATTCCCATTACATTTACCAAGAATCAAGACCAGAAGGTAGCTATTTGGTTGTTACCCTGGTCATTTACTTCGGAGTAATGAGGCTTGCGTAACAATTAGTTCACTTGCCATCTACAGCCGTATCTCAAGTTACCGATTTTGACCGTTCAAACAGCTTAGAAGTCAATCCGCAGCCCGATTTGGAGCTTGCCGAAAAGAATCCTTAACCTTGAACTAATTTCGGGTTTTGATTCTTGTTAATGAAGAAAATGTTTATTTTGCTGAAGACCAGCATTGCCCGCGATTCGCTGAACATGTCATACTCAAACGAGGTGAAGTGGTAGACGCACATCACATACTCAATAATGCGATGAAAAGCATTCAGTTCACAAGTGAGTAGGAGGTAGAAAAAACGCACATGCTTAGACGTGTTGATGAGCAGAACCATGGATGATGGATTTCGAACATCTGATTACAGGAATGGCATCCATACGACCTGCTTTGGAACTTTAACAGTAAACACCTAAACTGTTAGAAAATAAGCAGCGTGCGGATGCTATTTTGCAGAACTGAAACACACTGCGGTACTGCGGAAGTGAAACGCGAAGAAGTACCTTTTTAAGTCGTTCGAACGCAAGCAGTTTCATTTGCAGATGTTTGCCACAAGCTCACAAAAACTGAGCTGATGCCAAAGAAAATAAGTGGATCGGTATGAGATATGTGAAGAATATAACTAAAATAAAACTTGATTGTTCAAACAACACAAAATCATCTTTACCCAAAAGCAAATCACCACTTCGAGGAAAACCATGTACCACCCAAAAGAGAAGCACGAGAAAAAACAAACGTCGTGAACAAACTAAGTTGGATTAATTATGAAAAGAAGTGAGTGGAACAAACACGAAATAAATTGTCGACCGGAATCCAAAAACATATTATGCATCGTCACTAGTTTCAGCGCACATGGGCGAGGAGGGAAATAGCTTCAAGAGGAACAAGATGGAGATTCGTGTTAGAGGAGCAACACAAAAATGAAAGTGCTAGAAGCTTCGTTCACCAATAATTCTATCAAAATGCGCATTAGCATGCTGCAAAGCGGAACTGGATAAAGTAACACTGGCTGACAGTAATTTCGGGCTATCTCGCACTCACGAAATGCAAAGTCCTTCTCCAAGACTAACAAGGACTCAAACATGAGCTGACACTTGGTGGGAACCAGCAAGAAGTCGTCCAGAAGTTCAAGTACCCTGGCTGCTATACTAGCGGCAGTGGTGAAAAAAAGATACGTTCACAAATCGTATAGCAAAAGCTCGAGATCATTTCGCCATTCTCCGCCACCTGTGGCGTCGGCGCGACATCACTCTCGCCCTCAAAGGCAGAATTTACAATGCAGACGTGCATTCAACTCTCCGGTACAGTTGCGAAACCTGATCTGTCAGACTGACATACCTAAAGAGGCTAGTCACATTCGATCATCGCCGCCTTCGCATCTTAGCCCATGTTTGGTGGAAACACCGCATGAGCGATGAGTACGTTCGGCGTCGCGCATTCAGTGCAGGAGGAGCGAGTGAACCGCTCAGCACCGTTATGTCACGCACCAGGCTCCGATGGCCAGGCAACGTGCTGCACATGCCACCACACCGACTCCCGCGACGTGCGATGTTTGCGCGACCTGGGTCTGGATGGAATATGAAGGGAGAAGGCCAAGCGACGAATTGGTCAAGAGTAATGAAGTACCTCACTTCGAACTTGGCGTCGGTTGGTGTCTTCCGACTGCAAAACTAGGGTCCCAAGGACGATGAACATGCTTAGTTGGATACACCAGCTGACATAGCGAAAAGCCAAACTCAGTGGCGTTTCTGTTGTGAGTTTCTTTGTCGCACCCCTCCCCTTCCCGCTTAGCTTCCCTCTCCAAAGACGATCTCACACTGCATGGATAATATAACACTCAGCATTATATTACTGGGTTGGTTAGTTTCTGTATTCTGTAATGTTTGTGTCACACTCATATATCTTCTGTATTGCGGCACAGTTAGCTGAAGTGCGTTTCTCACCTTCATTTAATGCGTACTAATAATGATGGTGATGAACAGCATCGATCATGTGTAGCAAGAACTGAAAATGATCTCAGGCGATCCGGAGCCAAAGTTCGAAACAAGATAGGCGATTAATACCTCAGGCGAGCGCTTCAGTCTCGGGGGAAGATGGACAAAGGAAACGCGGCGCAAAGCGATGCCACTTTCAAAAGTCATCTGCCTGTCCAAATCAGCAAGAATGCTCGTTGCACATCCCTGTACTGACGAAGTCTGCTAGCTTGGTGGCGAAATGTATGCAGTCGATTTATCAAGCTCAGTGAACCAATCAACAGAAAAGGTGATGCTGGAAATCCCAGTTACATCCCATTTGTGATACTGAGGTGAACGAAAGTTCACCGGACACACCAGACACAGTTCGAAAATAAATAACCTGAAGTACGTTAGCATACCTTTCGGACACTTCCCTTCACAACAGACAACTCTAGAGAGGAGCTCAGTCAACTGAGCCAAAGGTAGCTCTTATGTCTGATAAGGCAGCGGCGCGGCCCCGTTTGGATATCCAAGAAACGATGTGACCAATAGTTTGTCGCATTCGTAAGGCAAGACCAGAGCGATATAACACAACGAATCGGAATGAAGATTACATGTATGTGAGTAACACAGAGTAACACGAGATGAACTTACTAACATGTTTAGTGATTTAGAGAACCTTTTGAAAGGAACGATCGAACAGCGTCCAAGGTTAGTTTGGGCTAAAACATAAAGAGAATGGTTGTTGAAGATGAGAATCAAACATTTGTTGCATAAAGAGCATAGAAGGTGTGCTGCTACTGTGGCAAACATCACTACAATGGTGTGATTTCATAAATCAAACGCTTTCTGCACAAAACGTGTGATCTGAGTGACACCGGAAGAGGAGCATAACAACAAGATTCTTATAGCGAACGATCCGAATACAACAGCACTGAGGATGTATGAAGACAATAAATTCCACAGAAAATGTAACCCATTAAGTAAAATGTGGTGTAATGATTCGTGTGTCACGAAGACCAGCTGGGTGGCATTTTCCAAGCACATTCAAAGCTATTGTTACCAAACAGATGGTTAGAAGCCAGATAATGGAACAACGGTTTATGGCGGGTAGAAAAGCGTAGGTCCAACATGTCCCGTAGGCGGGTGATGAAAGGAATTGCAAATCGAGCACAACATAAGCGGATTACATAAATTGCGCATCGGTAAAGGAATGGGGTCATGGCATATGGGAGTGGGGTTGTAAGAATGAGATGACACAATGCAAGACGAGATAACAGGTTGCTATGAATGATGCTTAGTACCGTGGTTGTGTTGACCACCAAGTTCGCGCTCATGAATCTCTAGTCTACCGACCTGCGCATTTAGGTCACCGGCGAGTATCACGGTGTCCGTGCGGCGTTTCTTGCGGAGGTCGGTAATCTGGCGGTAGAACTCGTCTTTAGCTCGTCCGGGCTGCAGTCCGTAAGAGCGTACGCCGCTACAATGAATAAGCAGCGCTTACTGGTCCCATGGCTGGAAGATCGAACTGAACTTTCCAAGCGGACTGCACAAAGACGGCTGTTGACCGGGAACCAGTCAATGAGCGCTGCCTTAGCACGCGCGCTTAACGCAACTCCTATGACGGCGCAACCAGATGCTGCCGCTGTCGCATCTCCAGATAAGCGCAAGGTGAATGTGCAACTGGAACTTGGGGAGAGAGAACAATCGCAGAGTTGTGCTGGAGTCTTGTAAACAGGTTTCGGTTAAGCAGCAAATGTCGATTGGGAGGGTTTCCAAGGTGCGTGTAAGAGCACCTTGTGAACCCATTTGCATGGGCGTTCGAACATTGAAGGAAGCTAGCTTGAAGAGTGAGTGAAGTGCAATAAAAGCCTTGGAATTGGAATCTGTGTGGTCGGGTTTGAGCGGTTCATTGTTGAGGCCAAAGGTACCGTTTTTGTTTGCAGTGCACTTTTGGAGACTCGAAATTGAAGGGGGGTTAACAAGAACATGAAAGTTGAATAAAACGTGGAACGAAGAACGTGATTTTAGGTGCGGTAGGGTGAGATTTGGCATGCCCGGCCGCCAGTACCCCGGCCAAAGACAGAGTTCAGAGAGCGAGAAAGTTGAGCAGTTGTAAATCCATCATTTTATGTGTTGTGTGGGCATACAGCTACCCGGTTGCTCAGCCCGAGAAAAGGGGTTGACTTAGGGGACACCACCCCGAGCCTTTGGTCATAATGACCTCACCCGCAAAGCAGCGGGGCGAATTCAGGGAATCGCACCCATTGGGAGCCGGTGACTGATTGTCCAGTTCGTACGTCTTTTGCTTGGCTGCCTGCCAAACAGGGGCTGAATACTCCAAGTAATTCACCGTCAAGCTGAAGGATTACAATGCTCCAGCGAGGTGAAGCAAGGGGCAGTGACTTGATTTAGTGGTGAGTCACATCCGCCACGTCACAGTGTTGTTAAACGGACATATGTGGCTTTTTATAGGGAGAACGCCTGACAGGCGAAAACTCACCAAGTCTTGGAACACTGCTGCTGAACGATTTCCTGGAACGGGATAATCTCGAACCACCCAGCTGGCAACACGAGGAGGTAGTTCGGCAAGCCAGTCTAGACAGGGTTGCCCAGCCTCTCCACTCTTGTTCAACTTCGCCATGGACGAGATCCTGGGTACTGCCATCGATAGCTCTGAGTCCTTCGGCGTTGAACTGCTCCCTGGTGAGCGCTGTGAGTTGCGAGTCCTCCCAAGCTGCCAAGCATGTGCTGCTCAGACTGGAGATGTCCGCCTCCCAAGTTGGTTGACCTTTGCCTCTTCCAAATGTAACGTCCTACTACAGGACTGGCCAAGCGCATATATTTCTCTACCCCTTTAGGGGCATCCGCTAGAAGCGGTCGACAAACTCAACTATCTTGGGAGTTGTCTTAGTATTGGCGGTTTGACAGATGAGATCTCCCTGCGTGTCTCCAAGCCTAGAGTCGCTTCGCTAACCTTCGTCACCTGTGGCTTCGTCGTGACCTTAGCCTCATTCTCAAGTGACGAGTCTATAATGCAACGGTACGAGCGAGTCTGCTGTAGGGCCGTGCGACTTGGCCCATCAGCAAAAGCGATGTTCAGCAGCTATCTGTCTTCGATCACCGCTGCCTGCGAAGCATTGCTGGTGTTCGATAGCAGCATCACATCAGTAATGAGGAAGTCCGTAGGCGAGTCTTCAGATCTAACGAATTCCATCGACCGATTGATAGCATCATTTCATTGCGGAGACTTCGCTGGCTTGGGCATGTGCTCCGCATGCCTACCCAGCGGCTATTACGACGAGCCCTATTTGCGAGCACAGGTGTGGCTTGGAAGCGACGAAAAGAAAGGCGATGTAAAACTTTGATCCAATGTGTTAAGACACAAAGGTTAAAGCTGGCAGTTGTCGGGCGTTCCCGACTCCCGGGTAGGGGACCAAAAGGACCCCGAGCATATCTGGTTGCAAACGCTGGAGGATATGGCCAAGGACTGCACGCAATGGCGCACTTGCTGTGAGACTCTTGTATCCTAACAGTCGTTTTCTCCTTCACGCTATATTCTTCCCCTTGTGTGTCGTAATTGGAAGTGTTGAATATATATATATATATATATATATATATATATATATATCAATCGGGTTGCTCATACGTCTGCACAGATTAACGCAAATCGCATTGGGTTATAATTCCAAAGGTGTTAGCCAGAATACATCCCATAACATCTCTTCATGCGACAAAGTGTAGAGACCTCAGTGCGATACCCAAGCGGTTTTTGAAAATGGCCAAAGTGGGGTACAAAACAACTGAGTTTGGAAGATCGTTCCTGCGGCACAATAGTTGGGGTGTTCTCCACCTCTAGCTAATGTGTATAATGATGATGGTTATAGAAGATCGTTCCAGGGTTGGCAGACCCAGTAGTGGTCGACAATGTAAACGACTGAATTGTTGACGCCGTTTCACGCTATTGCCTCTGTGATTGATGTTCGGGCAAAGTTCTAAAAGGTGATGGCATACGTGATTGGGATCGCTCAGTATTTGGTATACTAATATGACGTCTGCACATAGCCGTTGGTAGCGTCCACTGAACACTCCGAGTGTGATACGGAAGGTGATACAAACCCTTAATATTTTTGTTGCTCGACGTTGCTAGTTCGCGAGTGATGCGAAGCCCCACTTTAGCCGAAATTGCCAAGCCTGGATAGCGAATTCGACGTGTAAACGCACGTAGGCATAAGAGAAGATGAATGAATCAAAACTCCTGGCTGCTCTGTGCAACAGATCGACGTGCTGGTTACCTTTTTGAAGCAGACTGACTGTCTGGAACAACCGAGGTCGTCCTGCATCAGCACACGGAAGTCAGGTTCCTAAAAGGTGGTCATCAGATCGTGCGCTCCTAGCTTGTAGATGTAGGCGTCGATGGCGTATGGGGACAAAGCTGCATTTGTCCACATTGACTGTCAGCGCGTTCCCCTTTATCAGGTCTCGTCGAGGTCGCGCTGAAGAAGAATAGGTTTCAACATCTGTTTATAGAATAGAGGAAGACCGTCGGTCCTCTCCACATAAAACAACCATGAAAAACAGCATCTCAACTTAAAAACACAAGAAACTGTTACAAGACTGGACCTACGCCACTGATACGCAACATCCACGAATCGGTGGGTTGTTTACGTATCAAGAACACAATTATCCATGATGGTAAAAGAGCTGGATGCTGGTGAGCAAATCGGAAAGTCCTTTGTGTTTCTTCAAGGACCCAATCGTCTGTGAAGATGACGGGATATAGGTTGTGGGGGAAAGGCAAAGAACACAAATCTGTGGTGTGAACAACGTTAGGGTGTGACTCAGTAGCATGGTTACAGCTTGCTGAAGATAGTAGGAAGGTTGTCACCTTGGGCCGACGGTACCTGTGTAGCATCGTTTGTATCTTTCTGGATGGTTGAGTAAGCAGTGTATCCGTTGGTGTTTGTCAATAACCATCTAGTGAAACACCGGACGGTCAGATGAAACCGAATCACCTGGGTTAGCTAAGTCGCGTTCTTTGAATGCTAGTCAACCATGCACCTTTAGCACGTGTCGTTTGCTAATACTGCCCAGGCTGCAGCAAAGCTTAATGATGATAAGCCGGAGGCGTGTAGAGTTCCACCGACAAACATGATCAGGTTAGTGCGTGATGTCTTCCAAGATAGGGTCCATATAATCGACCGCTCCAGTGAACAGAGACTCAATTATCGCACTCGAGTCGCGAGCTAAGTGGACTTGTCGCTGTCACACACTGTACATGTGAAAGAACGTTGCTCTATTAAAACAGAGAGATCGTTGTGTGGTTGACTTGTATCCCTCGAGAATCAGGAAATCGGTATAGTGAAGCCATATTAATTCGACAAGTAGTATGGTCTGTTGGCTCTGGGGCGACGGGTAATATGAAACAAAACCATCCAGTCTGGCTCTGCCGACAAAAATGAAACGCATAACCAGCAGCGAAACAGTTGAAACAGCGCGAAAACGAACATGCACCCAAATTTCGAAGAGCGGCCTGCAAAGACCGCGAAGCCTGTCGCTAAGAGAACCTCGCTTCATGTGAAGCGGCGCAGGTGATTTACCAGTATTAGAGGGGCCGGAGCACTTCAATTCCGCAAGCAAAAATGACCGAGTGCTTGTACGGAGTTCAATGTGTGCCGCAATCACCAAATCGACAGTCCGGATTGCAGTGGGGAAGACGTAA